AAAGGTTTTCAGACGGAAACGATCATTATCGCCTGTCTGGAAAATCGACAATTCGCTCAAAAATGGACAAAATTTCAGAAAATTGTCCAAAAAATTGACGGAAAAAGTGATAGTGTGACAGCACCTTTACGGGGGTACGGGCTGTCTCCAGTGCTGTTTGTGTTATGTATGATTCCACTGATGTTGATCTTGAGAAAAGTAGCGGCTTCTTATGTATGGGGTGACAAGGAATTCAGAATGAACCATTTAGCATTCATGGAAGATCTTAAGTTATTTGCTAGGAATGAAGCCAAATAGATTCATTGAGTGGAAACCTTTTTATTGAAGATGTCGGAATGCAATTCAGATTATATAAGTATGGACTATTGATATTGAAGAGAGAGAAAGTTGTGAAGCTAAATGGTGTTACACTTCCGAATGGGCAAATAATGAAAGAAATCTGTGGAAGTGGATACAAATCGGGAATCGTGGAGGTGGATAAGATCAAAGAAACGGGCGTGAAGGATAAGGTGACAAGCAAATGCAAAAGGAGATTGAAGTTGTTTTTTTTTGGAATCTAAATTGAATGATAGGAAGGAGATCTTGGCAATAAACACATAGGTATTGATATTGAGATATGGACAACGTATGAATTGAAGATCATGAATCAGAAATCGAGGAGGATTATGACATTGCACGGTGCACTGCATCCGATGAGTGACACAGACAGTTTATATTATACTACAGTAGAGAGAAAAGAGGAAGTTGATATAATTTGCGAGGGTTGTGTTCGAAGTGAAGAGAATAATTTGGGATGCTGCGTAAGGAACTCGGGTCATTTGACCGGTTTGTTAAAATTGCGAGGCCCGACCCAGTGAAAATTCACATATACGGACGTGTATATACGCAAAAAACGCATATCTGTCTATCGAGGACGAGTTCAAGAAGATATCGTTGATTGTAATAGAGTAAAGATGGAAGGGGAAAAAAACGTACGGTCAGATGTCAACAGATGCAGAAGAGAAATTGCTGAGAAAAATTAATCTAAAATATAGTCACTATTGTTGTGCAGTGCAAGAACAGGCTCTCCGAACAATGTTAATCATATTGACAAATCAGCAGAGTGTAAAGAGAAAGGTGAAACTGTACATCACATTCTCAGCGAGTCTAAGAAGATGTCACAGAAAGAATACAACCGACAAGGTGACAACGGAAGGGAGGGGAGAAAGGGGAGGGGAAGTGAGGAGGAGAAGGGGGAGAGGAAGGAGGGGAAAGGAGAGGAGGGGGAGAGGGGAAGCGGGCGGGGGGAGGGAAAGGAGGGGGAGGGGGAGAAGGGGGAGGGGAAGGGAGGGGAGGGGAGGGGGAAGGCTGGTGCACTGGAATTTATGCAAGAAACATAAACTAGAAAGGACAGAAAAAGGGCGTGAGTGTTCCCCTGGGGGGTGTTGTGGAAAAGGACGAGATGAAGCTCCTACGGGATGCAAATCTCAAATCTCTAATATGCCGAAGTAAATGAAGCAAGGAGACCTGACATAGTTGTGAATGAATGAAAAGGAAAAATGCATCATCTTTGACACTGATGTACCATGTAATAGTGGGATTAGCAACAAGGAAAAAGAGAAAGCGGATACATGTCCAGATTTGATAAGGGAAATCAAGAGTAAAAGAGAAGTGTTAGTTGTGCTTGTGATTGTGGAGCATTCGGGAAGTATAACGAAGAAATTGAATGAATATTTTAGAAAAAAAATAGACATCAAACGTATTACAGCACTTTTACAGAAGACGGTATTATTTGGAACAGCCAGAATATTGAGAAAGGTACTTGAGTATTGAACTGATAATTACTATATCATCATTATTGTTATTATTATCATCATTATTATCTTTATCATTATCATCATTATTATCATCAATGATAAAGATAATAATGGTAATATCAATTATGATTACAATACCAGCAACAAATAACAGTAGTAAAAAGTCATGATTATGATAGCAATAACGATAATAGCAATCATGATAATAACAAAATTAATACGAACTGAATCAAGATCATTCACAAAAACAACAACAATCATCATAGTGTAACAAGAACATCAGGACCAGATTATTTTGACGATAGGAACAGCACCAAAACTACTGTACTGCTAATTATAAAGGAAATTGGTGATAAAAGCCTCATATAAGTAACTGCTAACATGGCCTCCCTTCTCCAGCCAAGGCCCATCATGTTTCGTCATTAAGCTACTTCCGCTCTTTATCCCGTCTTCTTGTCTGTCTATTTGTCTGTCTGTCGTTCTGTTTGTCTTTTTATATGTATATTGGTTTGTCTGGTTGTCTTTTGTTTTTTTTTTTATCATGAATTTTTGGATCATAATTATGTTTCTCTTATTCTTTATCATAATTTATGTGTCTCTCTCTCTCTCTCTCTCTCTCTCTCTCTCTCTCTCTCTCTCTCTCTCTCTCTCTCTCTCTCTCTCTCTCTCTCTCTCTCCTCTCCTCTCTCTCTTCTCTCTCTCTCTCTCTCTCTCTCTTCCTCTCTCTCTCTCTCTCTCTTCTCTCTCTCTCTCCTCTCTCCTCTCCCTCCTCTCTCTCTTATCCTCTCTCCCCTCCTCTCCTCCCTCACTCTCTCCTTTATCTCTCCCTCTCCCCTCCTTTTCCTCCCCTCTCCTTCCTTCTTCTCCCTTCCTTCCCCCCCTCACTCTCCCTCTCTCCTCTCTCCCTCTCTTCTCCGTCCCTCCCTTCCTCCCCCCCCCTCTCTCCTCTCTCTCTCTATCTCTCTCTCTCTTCTCATCTCTTCTTCCCTCCCTTCCTCCCTCTCCTCCCCTCCTTTATCTCTCTCTCTTCTCCTCCTCCCTTCCCTCCTTCCCCCTCATCCCCTCCCTCTCTCTCTCTCTTCCCTCCATTTCCTCCCTTCCCCCTCCTCCCCTCTCTCCTTAGAGAATCTCTCTCTCTCCCTTCTTCCTTCCTTCCCCTCCCTCCCTTTCCCTCCCTACCTCCCCCCCCTCCCACCCTCTCTCTCTCCCTCCTTCCCTTCCCCCTCTCTCCCTTCCCTCCTTCCTCCTCCTCCCTCTCTTCTCTTTATCTCCTCTCTCCCTTTTTCCCCTCACACACGCCCCGACCGGCCGCCCATTAACCCGAGGAGGAACGGGAAACCTTCCAACTTCCTTAAGAATGTACAAGATTAAGACTGTTAATTAGGACCTTGTGAGGTGTAATGATGATGCCGTGTCGCTTGCTTTCGCTCGCGACTTCCTGGAGTTTCGTCTGTTTTATTATTTTTTGGTTTTGGTTTTTGGTTTTGTTTTTTTCTCTCTTATTCTTTCTTTCGTTTTTTTTTTTTTTTTTTTTTTTTTTTGCTGAGTTTCGTCTGTTTTATTATTGTTTTTTTTTCTCTCTTTTCTCTTCTTTCGTTCTTCTTGTTCTTTTGCTTTTCGTCTGTTTTCTTTCTTCTCTGCTGAGTTCTTTCGTGAGTTTCGTCTGTTTTATTTTTTTATTTTTTTTTGTTTCTTTCTCTCTCCTCATCCTCTTCTTTCGTTCGTTCGTTCTTTCTCTTCTTTTGTTCTACTCTCTTTTGCTTTGTTTTCTCTCCTCATTTCTATTATTATTATAATTGTTATTATAACAATTATAATTACTGTTTTCATTATTGTTATCATCATCACTATCATCATTATTATCACTATCATCATCATTATCATTAGTATCATAACAACCATTATTATCATCATTACATTCAGCATTACTATTATCATCATTATTGTTATCATCACTATTATTGTTATAACTGTTATATATATTATTATATATATTTGTAATGAATATTTCTGTCAATAATATCACCGTCATTACCATCATCATCATCATCAATATCACGCTCATTTCTCCTCTTCTCGAGCGGCGCCAGATAGGCCTAAGTAAAAATTCAAAAAGAGATGAAAATGACGCCAAAGTAGGCCTAAAGAATAATCAAAAAAAAAATGAAAATGACGCCAAACGCCACATAGGCCTAAGCCATAACTCAAAAAAAAAAAAAATTAAAAATGACGCCAAACCACATAGGCCTAAGAATAATTAAAAAAAAAGAAAAATGAGCCAAAACGCACATAGGCTAAGGAATAAAAAAAAAATGAAATGAAAAACGCACAAAACGCCACATAGGCCTCAAAAAAAGAAATGAAATGCCGCAAAACGCCACATAGGCCTAAGGAATAATTAAAAAAAGAAATGAAAATGAACGCAAAACGCCACATAGGCCTAAGGCAATAATTAAAAAAGAAATGAAATGCCGCCGCAAACCCCCACAAGCCTAATAATTAAAAAAAAAAGAAATGAAAAATGACGCCAAATGCCACATACCGAAACCCAAATCCAATAGGCCTAAAATGACGCCAAAACGCCACATAGGCCTAAAGAATAATTAAAAAAAAAGAAATGAAATAAAGAATAACCTAAAAAGAAATGAAATGCCGCAAAACGACACAGATAGGCCCTAAAGAATAATTAAAAGAAAATGACGCCAAAACGCCACATAGGCCTAATTAGAAATGAAATGAAATAATAGGCCTAAGCATAATAAAAAAAAAAAGATGAAAAATGAAAAACGCCACATAGGCCTAAGGCAATATTTAGAAAAAGAAAATTAAATGCCGCAAAACGCCACATAGGCCTAAAGAAAATAATTAAAAAAAGAAATGAATAAAGAATAACCTAAAAAGAAAATGAAATGCGCCAAAAACGCCACATAGGCCTAAACCATAACTCAAAAAAAAAAAAAAAAAAAAAATGCCGCCAAAACGCCACATAGAAAAAAAAAAAAATTGAAAATGCCGCCCAAAACCCGCGCCTTAAAACCTGGTTCTAATGAAGCCCTTCGGATATGAGAGTCGTCTGGCCAACCGGACTCCGCGGGCTGTGACTCGCCTGTCCTCGGGCTTGCATTAATGGCGACGACCCCTGGCTAGGCTGCTCTTTGGGGTCTTGGGGTCTTGGGTCTTGGGTCTTGTGGGTCTTGGGTCTTGTCAATTGAAGGTCGAGGATCTTGGGTCTTGTTGAGTGTTGGGTCTTGGGGTTTGGGTCTTGGGTCTTGGGGTCTTTGGGGTCTGGGGTCCTTGGGTCTTGGACGAGATTGACGAGAGCTTTATTGGGGAGGGGATTTTGGGGTCTGGGGGTCTGGGGTCTTGGGGTCTTTGGGGGTCTTGGGGTCTTGGGGTTCTGGGGGTCTGGGTTGGGTCTTGGGTCTTGGGGTCTTGGGGTCTTGGGTCTTGAAGGTTTGGGATCTTGGGGTCTTGGGGTCTTGGGGTCTTGGGTCTTGAAGTCTTGAAGGTTGGATCTTGGGGTCTTGGGGTCTTGGGTCTTGAATGGGTTTGGGTCTTGGGTTTGGGTCTTGGGTTTGGTTTGGGTATCTTTTGGGGGTCTTGGGTCTTGGGTCGGGGGTCTTGGGTCTTGAGGGATTAGGGTCTTGGGGTACATGGGTCTTGAAGGTTTGATCTTGGGTCTTTGGGGTTTGGGCCTTGGGTCTTGGGTCTTGGGCGGTCTTGGGGTCATATCAAGGAGTATGGTTTGGAGATTTGGGTCTTGGGGCTGGGTCTTCCTGCTTGCGTTTGGGTCTTGGGTTTGGGAAGTCTTGGGGTTCTGGGGTCTTGGGGTCCTTGGTTTAGGGTCTTAGGGTCTGGGGGTCTGGGGTTCCTTGGGGTCTTAGGGTCTGGGGGTCTTGGGTCTTGGGGTTGGGTTTGAAGTTTTGGGTCCTTGGGGTCTTGGGGTCTTGGGTCTTGGGTTTGGGGGGTCTTGGGGAGGGGTCTTGGGTCTTGGGGTCTTGGGGTCTGGGTCTTGGGGTCTTGGGGGTCTTGGTCTTGGGGTCTTGGGGTCTTGGGTTTGGGGTCTTGGGGTCTTGCTTGGGTCCTTGGGGTCTTCTGCTGGGGGTCCTTGGGTCTTGGGGTCTTGGGGTCTTGGGGTTGGAGGGTCTGGGGTACTTGGGGTCTTGGGTCTGGGGTCGGGGGGTCTTGGGTCTTGGGGTCTTGGGGTCCTTAGGGTCTGGGGTCTTGGGGTCTTGGGGTCTTGGGTTTGAAGGTTTGGGGTCTTGGGGTCTTGGGTCTTGGGGTCTTGGTCTTGGTTCTGGGTTCGGGGTCTTGGGTCTTGGGGTCTGGGGGTCTGTTGGGGTCTTGGTCTTTGGTCTGGGGGTCCTTGGGGGTCTTGGGGTCTTGGGTCTTGGGTCTTGGGTCTTGGGGTCTTGGGTCTTGGGTCTTGGTCTTGGGGTCTTGGGTCTGGGGGTCTTGGGTCTGGGGTCTTGAAGGTTTGATCTTTGGGGTCTTGCGGGTTTGAAGTTTTGGTCTTTGGGGGTCTTGGGTCTTGGTTTTCGGTCTTGCTCTTTGGTCTCACAACGGGAAGCCTTACTATATAGGAGAACTATTGCCTTCGGTCTTTCTCCCCCTCGGTCTTCCCTTCGTCATCGCTTATATAGGTTGTATTTCGGTCTTTCTCACTTGTCTTGATATTTTGGTATTTCTCCTCTGTCGCCTATATATTATGAGGGGCAGCTTTACGGTCCCTGCCCTTGGTTCCTTACCTTTTCAGTCTTGCCTTCGCTTCTGAAACCCTTGGTCTCGTTCTTGTACTTCGGTCTGGGCATTAGCTAGCTCTCGGTCTCCCTCTTCCGTTTCCTCCCTCCTTGTGTTTTTTTTTTTTTTTTTTTTTTCCTTCTTCCTTTTTTTCTTTTCTTTTTTCTTTTTCTTTTGTTTTTCTTTTTTTCCATTTTCTTTTTTTCTTCCTTTTTTTCACTTTATTATCCTTTTCTTTATTCTTTTCTTTTCTTTTTCTCTTTTCTTTTCTTTCTTTACTTTTTTTTTTTTTTTTTCTTTTTTTCTTTTTTTTTCTTCCTCTATTATTTTTCCTTTTCAATTTTTCATATTCAATATTTTTTTTCTTTATTGATGCATATGTTTGTTTTGTGTTTTGCAGGCATAATACAGACACCATTCTGTTGACTTCTACCATTCTTTCTCTAATCTATCTATTATAGTCTATCTGTCTGTCCCTATATTACGCCTTCACTACTTATCTTAATTCTCTCTCCTCATTTCTTCCTTGTCCTAGCCCTATGAAAAGCAACACACAACCCCACACATGCACAACACACACACATCACACACAAATATATCCTCCAACCAGCTGCTACTGCTGTGTGTGTGGTGTACTGTATATATATATATCCATTATATCATCATATAATACTATTATATTAACATATCATATATATATACTATACTATATATATGAATATATTATACTCACCACCATCCACCTACTGCATACATATCACCCATAAGATACATACATAAATATATATATCGTGTGTCGTGAGTGACATACACCCGCACATACACCTAACACTTCTTATCCAACACTACTCATAGCACTGCAAAATTCTCCACACATCTTGCCCACCGAGAGGCCCCGGCGGAGCGAGAACGGAGGAAGACGAAGTGGCTCCTTTTTCACCGTCTTTTGCACCCATTCGTTACGCCTCCGCCGCCCCTCCCAGACGGCGTGTCGCGGGCCGCCCTCCTTGGGGACTCGCCATGCTCGGACACACTCCACACACTCGCAACGCACAAACACCAAACAGACATACAGACTGATCATACACACACATACCCAAGCACAACTCATACACAGTCATCGCACGTACACACAAGACACACACGCATACACACGCTCTCATATAAACAGACATGCACAAATACACGCACACATACGCATGCACACACACCATCACACACACACACACACACACACACACACAACACACAACCACACCACACACACACACACACCACACACACAACACTACCCAAGCACAGCAAAGACCACAGCCCTGCCGCACCAGGCCTATGGGTGAAATTCGTTGGTCTTTGCCGAAGCACCGATGCCTATGTCATTGCACGTGTTCTGTAATCTGGTTGTTATCAGGTGTGCTGGATATGGACGTTCATAAGTACACACAGCCATTCAAACGCACACGAACACATACACACACATACATACACTTTATTCAAGGCGTGGGGCCTGGGAGAAATATTCCATTTGGGTGCCAAGTTTTGGGCATCTTTTCTCGGGGTTTTCTATGCATGTATATCGGTATATGTTTTTTATGTCGTTTTCTGTGCTCATTCTTCTTTGTATAATAAAACACTATATTTTCAAGTATGTTTATGTTGTTTGAGGTTATGTCTGTATGTTTTTTTGGTTGTTTTTGTGTGAGTTGTGTGTATGTGTGTTGTGTGTGTGTGTGTGTGTGTGTGTGTGTGTGTGTGTGTGTGTGTGTGTGTGTGTGTGTGTGTGTGTGTGTGTGTGTGTGTGTGTGTGTGCTTTTTCCCAAGTGCCGCTATATGCATTACGCGTTCTTCTTTGTCTATGCCGATTTATATACGTTTACGCTTCCGTGTAATAAGCACCGATTCATACGTAACGCCTTTCACTTTTGAGTTCATTTACGCCTCCACGTATTTTTTAGGCGCCGTGTGTCCCCCCCCCCCCCCCCCACGTCCTCCTCCTCCCCGTGTTACACAAACCGTTAACCTCACACAGACGTCTTCCTTTTGGCCGAGGCTCCGAGGACCTGCCGTGGAAGAGGCGTTTTAAGGTGATTTAAGAGCCACTTTTTTCCCGCGAGAGGAAGGCACTCACTCCGGGAGGGCAGAGGGCCACCGCCAAGTTCGAGAGCCACCTCCCAGTGCCTCCGCCGCTCTCGCTGACCGCCGCTGACGAAGGAGAGACGGCGAGGACACGCGAGGGAGAGAGAGAGCGTGGCTTCGGGTGAGACGAGAGGCTGTATGTGTGTCTTTGGGGTCGTTGGGGGAGATAATTGCGGTGCGTAATTAGGGTCATTACTTTTCTGATACATGCTTTCGTCATTATATGGAGGTAAATATACTTCCAGATACCCATACACGCGTATCCTCTTTCCTACTTTTTCTTTCTTTCTTTCTCTCTTTGTCTCTCTCTCATTCTCTTTCTTTCTCTTTCTCTCTTCTCTCTTCTCTTTCTTTCTTCTCTTTCTTTCTCTTCTCTCTCTCTCTCTCTCTCTTCTCTCTCTCTCTCTCCTCTCTCTCGTCTCTCTCTCTCTCTCTCCTCTCTCTCTCTCTCTCGCTCTCTTCCTCTCACTCTCTCTCTCTCAACTCTGACAGAGATTCAGCAAATGGGTAGCACAAAGAGTCCACCACAAAAATACAAAAGAAAGAGAAAAAAAAACACTCTCCTCCCCTCCCCTTCTTCAACTTTCCCACCATCCTCTCTCTCTCTCTTCTAGCCCTCCTTCCCTCCCTCCTCCTCTTCCTCTCCTTCCGCCTTCTCCACACGCGTCGAATCCCTTCCCTCATCCTCACCCTTCTCCCCTCGCCTCTTCTCAATCCTCCCCCTCCCTCTCATCCTCCCTTCCTCCCCTCGCCGTCCTTCTCATCCTCCCCTCCCTCTCATCCTCCCCTCCCTCTCATCCTCCCTCTCTCATCCTCCCCTCCCTCTCATCCTCGCCCTTCTTCCCCTCGCCGTCTCTCATCCTCCCCTTCACTCTCATCCCTCCCCTTCCTCCCCTCCCGTCTCCTCATCCTCCCCTTCACTCTCATCCTCACCTTCTCCCCTCGCGTCTCCTCATCCTCCCTTCACTCTCATCCTCCCACTTCCTCCCCTCGCCGTCTCTCATCCCTCCCCTCCCTCTCATTCCTCCCCTTCCTCCCCCTCCCCCCGCGTCTCCTTCTCCTCCCTTCACTCTTCATCCTCACCTTCCTCCTCCCCTCGCCGCTTCTCATCCTCCCCTCCCTCTCATCCTCAACCCTCCTCCCCTTCCTCCCCTCGCCGTCTCCTCATCTCCCCTTCACTCTCAATCCTCCCCTTCCTCCCGCTCGCCGTCCTTCTCATCCTCCCCTCCCTCTCATCCCCCCCTTCCTCCCCTTCCTCCCTCGCCCGTCTTCTCACTCCCCTCATCTTGGGGTGCTTACGTATTGCCCTTCCTTCATTAATGCAACAC